AAAAAAAAAAAAACCCAAACCTGCTGCCATTGGAGTCCATTCTGACTTATATGGGACAGAGTGAAAATGCCTCATAGGATTTTCAAGGCTGTAAATCCTTACAGAAGCAAGCTACTAGAATTGCTGGTGGGTTAAAAACACTGACCTTTTGGTTCATAGCTGAATGCTTTAACCACCACACCACTAGAGCTCCTTTCATATCTATTGTTATCATTGCTGTTTGCTGCTGTTGAGTCAATTCCAAGTCATAACAACCCTATATACAACAAAATGAAACACAGCCTGGTCCTGTGCTAGCCACACAATCTTTGCCATGCCCATTGTCACAGCCACTGTGTCAATCCATCTTGTTGAGTGTCTTCTCCTTTCTCACTAACCCTGCGCTTTACCAAGTTTGATATTCTTCTCCAAGGAATGGTCCCTTCTGACAACATGACCAAAGTAGGTGAGATGAAATCTGGACATTCCCACTTCCAAAGAGAACAAATTTGTTCATTCTTCTGGCATTCCATGGTATTCTCAGTATTCTTTGCCAACACCACATCTCAAAGGTATCAGTTCTTCTTTGGTCTTCCTTATTCATTTTCCAGCTTTTATACATATATGCAGTAATTGAAAATACCATGGCTTGGGTCAGGCACACCTTATTCTTCAAAGTGACATCTTTGCTCCTGAACACTTTCAACAGGTCTTTTTCAACAGATTTGCCCACTGCAGTATGTCGTCTGATTTTTTGACTGCTGCTTCCATGGGTGTTGATTGTGGATCCAAGAAAAGGAAAATCACTAACACCTTCAAACTTTTCTCTATTTATCATGATGTTGCTTATTGGTTCAGTTGTGAGGATTTAGTTCCCTTTATGTTGAGTTGTAATCCATACTGAAGGCGATCATCTTTGATTTTCATCAATAAGTGCTTCAAGTTCATCTTCACTTTCAGCAAACAAGGTTGTGTCATCTATATATTGCAGGTTGTTAATGAGTCTTCCTCCAATCCTGACACCATTCTCTTCTCCATATAGTGCACTTTCTCAAATTATTTATTCAGCATACTGATTGAGTAAGTGGTGAAAGGATACAATCCTGGCACACACCCTTCCTGATTTTAAACCATGCAGCATCCCCTAGTTCTGTTTGAATGATTGGCTCTTGGTCCATATACAGGTTCCTCATGATCACAATTAAGTGTTCTGGAATTCCCATTCTTTTCAACGTTATCCATAATGTGTTATGATCCACACAGTCGAATGCCTTTGCATGGTCAATAAAACACAGGTAGACATGTTTCTGGTATGTTTTGCTTTCAGCCAAGATCCATCTGATATCAGCAATGATATCCCTCATTTGATGTCCTCTTCTGAATCCAGCTTGAGTTTCTGGCAGTTTCTTGTCAGTATACTGCTGCAATCTTTTTTTGAATTCTCGTCAGCAAAATTTTACTTGTGAGTGATATCAATGATATTGTTTGATAATTTTT